AGCAAGTCCTTTTAAAAGCCTAATAGGGCTGGGAAGACATTCCATTCTCAGTGTGAGAGTCCTTACCCGCCAGGCTGGCCGCCTGCTCATCACTTTGCCTACCACCTACTTCAGATAGAATGACTCACATCCTGGGGCTGTCTGGTTAAATTACACCTTGAGCCCATCGCTGGGGGTTTAAGTAGAAGCTGATGGGGAGAAAGAAAAGAATGAAACTAAAGGGTACAAGCACTCTTTGTACCCTTAAGTGAACAGAGCACAGACAAGAGAGAGGTCTATGAAATGGATTTTGTATTCCTGGCCACCACTGTTACCCTTTTAGAGAGTTATATATTAGCTAGGCTTTGAAGACAGATGAGGGCAGGACCTTCTATATAATTTCTATCAGTTATTACCAAGAACTTCAGAACAATGCAGCAAAGTGTTTAACTAAATGTAGGGAGTCCTGTGTGACAGGGTAGGCCACCCAAACACTAGTGACAGACACAGTGGCAAAGCAAAGTCATGTCACCTTTCTTTGGGTCTTGCTCTCCTGATGCTGAAGGAGCCAGGGTTCAGTCTCATCAGCAGTGCTGAGGATAATAAGTTTTTTCAAGTCTCAAGGTTTTGACTTAGAAGAACATGTTTAGTCAAAAATGCAGATTTTATTTCTGCACTGAAATCTTTTTGAAGGAGAAATAACTATTGGCAATGAGCCACCTATGTGGACAGGTGATGTTGTATGGCAGGAAAATGGAGAAGCTACATTTTGAGAGGTCAGATCTTGGATTCTTTTTTTTAAAAGACCAACAACTGCATGGTAGACTCCTGTCTCAAAGGCCAGCAGTCAGCAAATAAACTTAACACTGTTAGGAAACTGGGCCATGAAGGCCAGAGAGGAAAGAAAGAACAAAAACAATACCAACAAACCAATTCAGCTCCAGTGGTGACAGGAGAAGAGACAGGACACAAAACACAAACACGGAGACACAGGGCATGGCATAATGGCACCTGAGCTGGTCCAGGCCTAGATAAGGCAGGTCAGGGGGCAGGGTTACAGGAAACTGGAGTCCCAGCCAGTAAACTGACAGGTTTAATAACCTGCTATCCAAGTCCCTGCCCTGGCCTCCAGGCATTTAGGCTTGCCTATCACCTGGGAGGTAGGGGCTTTACCTTCCCCTGCCATGCAAACAAGATGCCAGACACTACCATCCACCACATAGCCAAGATGGCTCCGGCCAGACCCGATCTCCCTATTTCAGTAGGAGATATTTACCTCCACACCATAAGTCCAGCTTACTGTGTTCAGGTGCCGTCTACTGCAATTCACAGATGTCTCACCCCAAGTGTCTCAAGTATTAGAAATTCCATCCAGGGAAGGGGTGCTGGGGTTCCAGGTGGTAGAATGCTAGCCTTGAGCAAAAGAGCTCAGGGACAGCACTAAGGCCTCAAGTTCAAGCCCCACAACTGACAAAAAGAAAATCCCAAATAGAAACAGGAACAAGAGTCAGAAAACAGGATTGGTCCAGGCCTACTTAATCATCTGCTCATCCATATGCCTAGACTTACTCTCTGAAAACTGTTTCATTCCTTCTCTCTCATCCATCATCCCTAACCACTACAGCTATAATCTGGTCTGGTTTGAGATCACCTTTCTTTTATTAGGTTTAAGAAAGAAATTTCCTTCTGGGCTTTCCACAGAAATGTACAGAACACACAGATATTTCCATATCCCCCCCCCCCCCCCGCCGCCCCCAAAGATGAGAGCAGGGCAGAAAGGTTATGGTTAGAAATGTGGAATAGAACAAATAAATTCCTGACAACCCCTTTGGACATCCTGTGAGCTCAAGTCAGAGGAAGCAGCTCAAAGCTTGCAGCTGGATAGCTACAGACATGTCAAACATCATTGAAATGAAAATATTTGCTGAAATAGGAAAGAAATTTGGAAAGTAAAAATACAAAGAAAGCATTGTTGAGATGTAGGTGTACACAACCATCAGAATGGCCTCAGATACAGAAATGGCCAGACATATTGGATATATTGCCTATAGACACAAAGTAATACTTTTCTGCTGTCTCAAAAAAAATAAGAATTCTCAAATGGAATAATACTAACTCATATTAAGGTAAATATTTGTGAGTCACACTTCAGAATTCACCTTTGGGGGCGTCAAAATCCTGAGAACTTGTCCACAGAACATCTCTGTGGTGTACAAAGTTCTGGGCCTCCTTCCAGAATTTAAATAAAGAAATAAATCCAAGAATGTAAACAAATCAAAGACGTCTCTCACTTCAATAATCACCCATTAGACATCTTGAATCTTTCTTCTGACAACATGTGCTTTCTTCCCATGCACTTGGATACAATTTCAAGTAGTTAACATACAAAAGAAGATAAATGTTCTATAATTCTTCATAAGGAATCATCTAACTGTGGCAAAGTTTTAACATTTTTCTAGACATCCCAAACTTTAAGAATTAAAAAAGAAAGTAATTAACATTTTAAGTGACAATTTGCCTGACTACCCTAATCTGTGGAATTAGGATGATAAGCCTTGAAATGCAAAGGAGTATTGCTAAGTATTGGCCACAAAAAGTAGCAGTGTATGATTACCCCTGTGAGCCAATGCAACCAAGATTTTAAAAAAGAAGAAGAGTAGTCTCTATGGCTTGGAATTCTTCCCTTGCTGTTGCTGCGATTTAAAAGAATTAGGGCTGTTCTCATTTATAGCAACAATCAAGAAAAGCCTTCCTCAGACACTGGACTCCGACCAAGGCCCAAAATGTGAACTTGGCACACAGAAGGGATGGTGAGACAGCTTTGCTCATGTTATTTCTTCCTGCATAGGAAGAACGTTGGTGACTCTGGTAACACTGTCTACTTGTCAAGTCACCCAGGAACAGTTTTGCTTTACGTGGAGAAGTAGGCCAAACAGCAAGCCCATGCCGAGTGAGAAGAGAGGAATACTGAGGGTTGAAAGACTGACATATAAGCAACTTGGTATACTACAGCTGTTTTAAAATGGCAGACATTTAATCTAAGCCAAAAATCTCAGGGCAGCCCAGTTCTTTTGATATAAGCAAGTTGAGGGTGGGGAAGACTACTTGAGGGTCTGAGCTTAACCTACCCAAACCCTGGAAAGATCTTCACTGTATTTGAGGAGAGGAGGGCAGTACTGGGGCTGAACTCGAGGCCTAGGCATTGTCCCTTAGCTTTTCCAAAAAAACTAGTGTTCTACCATTTGAGCCACAGCTCTACTTACAGCTCTTCTGTAGTTAATTGGAGACAAGATTCTCACAGACTTTCTTGCCCCAGCTGGCTATGAACCACAGTCCTCAAATCTCAGCATCTTGAGTAGCTAGAATTACAAGCATGAGCCACTGGCACCTACCTAAGATCTTCATTCTTTCAATGAAGCTCTGCTTACTTTACTCATTCCTCTTATCTTTTTGGTGTCTTATAGATCAGTGTTGGTTCAAAGGAAAGAGTTTAAGTCCTATGAATCAAAAGAAAGTAATGCAGTTTTTGGCTTGATAGTAGTTAAACTGTACATTTGAATCCTAAAAAGACAAGGAAGTGATACAGTAATGTCTTTTTTTTTAAAGCCACTAGAAAATACATAGTCTAACCTGGTGGAGTAGTACATGCTAGACATAATATGAGAAGCATAACACTAGGGCCTAGGATTTCAGAGAATAAAAAGCAAGCAACTTAAATCAAGTGGGCCACCATTGGCTCATGCCTATAATCCTAGCTACTCAGGAGGCTGAGACCTGAGGATCACAGTTTGAAGCCAGCCTGAGCAGGAAAGTCTATGAAACTCTTCCTCTCCAATTGCCCAACAAAAAAGAAAGAGGTGAAGTAAGCCAGGCCCAAAGAAACATAGGTCCCATGGTTTCCCTTATATGCAATAACTAGTATATGTCTGAGACAAACAAAAAGGTCAGATAAGTTGATGTTAAGTGAAATGATACCCAAGATAAGCATTCAAATGTTTTTTTTTATTTCTTGCGATTGTTTCCAACATATTTATAAGATGATTTCTTTGTTGCTTTGTATGTCCCTCCCCCACGGTATAACCCCTGCTTTCATTGTATTTGATTTTGGTATAAATTGTGGAGGGGAAGGGAAAAAACAAATCATTTAAATAGGAATACAGGTGGACCCATTGCAACAATGAGATGTACAAGGGATGGGAAGGGGAAACAAAGGAGGAGGCAACAATGCTTGATACGAAATGTATATATTAATTTGCCCATGTAACTGTAACCCTCCTGTACGGTATTTTCACAATGCAAAAAAAAAAAAAGAAAAAAAGAAAAAGAGAGTACCAGTCTTGAGTGAAAAATCTAAAAGCCAATACCCAGTCCTCAAGTTTAAATCCATGCACACACACACACACACACACACACACACACACATCAAAACATGTGCTTATAATAATGTTTTGTTTCATGGACACATATTGTATAGACTTCTTACTCAAAGAGGCAGTAAGTTATGGTTGGTTGCTTATCTGGGATCTTTCCATCATCGAATAACTTTCACCAAACCACCTATTGGTCAACTTGCTCAAAAGTACCCAGGAAAATAATAAACAAAGAGCAGGGAATTTTGTCTATGTTGTTCACTAAGGACTCTTAGTTTATAAGAATGCATTGTATATAGTGGGTACTTAATCACTACTTGTTGAATAAATAAAATAATAGCGTCGGCAGTGTGATGAGATTTTGCAAGTCATAGTACATGTCCATGAATGCTTTCTCATTTAATCTCTACTACAGCCCTACATGGTGTAATATTATTATTATCTACATCTTACCGGAGAGAAAGTTAGTGTTTGTCTTCTGCCTAAAGTAGCTACTCTAGTAATTCAGGATTTGCAAGCTAGATATAATCCTAGTTCACTGAGCCATGGCCCCAGGCTTTCTCATCACACCCAAGGTGCCACACTTAAAGAAGAAAGTATCAGGAGAGAGGTGATCTAGCTAACACATGCTGTGTCTGTGTCTTATTGCAGGTGGGTCTTTTTCGAAAGTCTGGAGTAAAGTCTCGAATACATGCCCTCCGTCAAATGAATGAGAATTTTCCTGAGAATGTCAACTATGAGGACCAGTCTGCTTATGACGTAGCAGATATGGTGAAGCAGTTCTTCCGGGATCTCCCTGAGCCTCTCTTCACCAACAAGCTCAGTGAGACTTTCCTTCACATCTACCAGTGTAAGTAGGAGTAACAACTGTCTTCTCATCCAAGCCTTAGAAACATCCCTGTAGGTAGAGTTTTAATTTTACAAGTAATACAGGAATCTATAAAGAAGTTCATAAATGTGATCATTCTGTTCTCTTCAGAAGTAACCTTTTTCACAGTTTGCTATGGAGATCACAGTAAATTTTAGCAATTGAATATGTCTTTTTGATATCAAAGAATTCCTTCCTAACAGGGTTTTGTGTGAGACCTCAAAGTAACTTAAAAAGTAAGCATTTGGGACCAGTTCAGTGATAGATGTTCGCCTTGTATGTGTGAGGCCATGAGTTCATTTCCTAGCATCATGAAAGAAAAGAAAAAAAAGAAGAAAAAAAAGTAGCTTGGGCTGGTGGCTCACAGCTATATGGCTACTCAGGAGGCTGAGATCTGAGAATCTCAGTCTGATGCTAGCCTGGGCAGGAAAGTCCATGCGAGTCTTATCCCCAGTTAACCAGAAATAGCATTATGGCTCAAAGTCGTAGAGTTTGCCTTGAGCAAAAGAAGCTCAGGGACCCAACCCATACCCTAAGTTCAAGCCCCACAACTGACAAAAAAAAAAGCAAGAAAGAGAAGAGGGGAGGAGAGAAGAGGAGAGGAGAAGAAAGAAGGAAGGAAGGAAGGAAGGAAGGAAGGAAGGAAGGAAGGAAGGAAAAGGAAAAATATCAATGTTTTCCTGAGACTAGTAAAATGACTGGAAACAAAAAGGCAAATATACTTTAATTGGTGCAAAGGAAGCAAACCGAATCAATACTTCAGATTAGCACAAGTAATTTTTGTTTTTACTTGAACATATTGAACTGATATTTTTATATGTGTCAGTACTTCAATTCAGGGCCTGGGCACTGTCACTGAGTTTTTGTGTTCAAGGCTAGTACTCTACCACTGAAGCCTCCATTCTATTTGCAGGTTTTTGATGGTTAACTGGAGGTAAGTGTCTCACAGACTTTCCTGTCTGGGCTGGCTTCAAACTGTGTTCCTCAGATCTCAGCCACCTAAGTAGCTAACATTACAGGCATGAGCCACTGGTGCCCAGCTTTTAACTGATTTTCTAAATCAATAGTTCCAAGCAAGGCCACTACAATTATAATAATCACAGAAAACAACAATTACTAATTTAAAATCCTATCCTGCTAAAGACAGCTGTAATGAGGGATGTTAGAAATAAGTATGTGAATCTTTCCATACATGATAACATTAGGGCTTTTTGTTTTCCTAACTGGATTCCCAGTTCTTTAGAAAAACATTTGACTGGTGGACTTTGATTTTACAGTAAAAATGTGCCAAAAATGGGCCAATATGTAGGCTTGATCAAATTTGAAGATCCTTGCTGTAGGGAATTCTGTCTTAAATGTTAAAGAATGTATAGGATTACAAATTCAAAAGTGATTTTTTTAACAAATACCACTTGCAAAAACAAAATAGAACCCATTGCAACAATGAGATATATAAGACATTATGTCGGAAAATGAACTTTGCAACTTTGGCATGGGGCATGAGAAAGGATGGGAAGGGGAAACAAAGGAGGAGGCAACAATGCTTGATGAGAAATGTACTCATTACCTTGTCCATGTAATTGTAACCCCTCTGTACAATATTTTCACAATTAAAAAATGGGTAGAGTAAAAAAAAAACAGAATAGAGTGGTGACCCATTAAATAAACATTATTTTGTCAAAGTGAATAGGCTAACTTGAATTAATGATCTTCACTGCTAAAGCCCAAATGCAAAGTATTCATAATGGCATTGCTATGAGCAGTGAAGCTCCACTTTTTTTTTCAATTAACCTTCCCTTATGGTTTAGCAATACCACATACAAGTCTTTACATATAATCAATTCTTGGATTGAAGCTGACACTAGTCTAAGGCTAAAGATAGATTATACCCACAAGGTAACTGTCTTTGGTGCTTTCTGAGACTTAAAACCAAGAAGCCAGATCAAAGCAGGGCTTTCTTTTAGCTAAGCAAACATTTACAGAATGGGGCTCAGTACAGGGTGCTGTGCTGAGTATTGCAGAGCATGTGGAAGTGTGAGACCCACTCTGTGCTCACCAAGATCATACAAATGAGGGAAACAATGCCTGGATGAACAATTGCAATGCATGATGGGAGGAAGTCCATTAAAAGGTTACAAAGACAAGCCCAGTGGGGCTTAAGATGGGCAAAGAGAATGTGGAGGAAGTGCCAGCTGTAGCTAAGTTGCATAAGGAACATATTTTGGGTGAAGCAAATTGCCTGCGCATATGTGTCGGAGGAACTGTCCTGCAAAGGTGACAAATGTACAACATGACACCAAACAACACTGAAGAATGTGCCATACAAGGGCCATACAAAAAGGAGCTTTGCAAATTAGGGTAAGGGGTTTGAGCTGCCAAGCAGTTAAGATACAACCAAACATTCTCCCCAAAGAATTATTTAAACAAATAGACATTTAACTATCTCACATGACAAGAAATCTGGAATTAAGCTATTCCAGTGTTGGGTAATTCTGCAGCTCAATTATGCCAGGGTAAAGTCAGGTTCTCTTGACTTTCCCCCTGAAGTCACAACATGATTGCCACAATATATAATTATCTTGTCTTCACCAAATCACATTCAAAGGGCTTCTTCTTGGGTGTATGTCCTATTTTAGCAGGAAGATAAGTCTTAAAAGGAGCTCCAAGATATTCTCTCAGTCCTATCAGCCCAAAATGATCTTATCTTCTCCCCTAAACCAATCAATGGAAAGAAGAAAGAGATTCCATTCACACTCTGAACAACTCGCTTGCTCCTCTGTTTAGATGTTTCTTTTAAGCCAACATGATTCATCTCTGGAATGAAGGGAGGGGCTCATTTTCCTGAGTTCATTACTGCCTACTCTTGAACCAAATACATGTTTACTTAGTGACAAAGTGGGGAAGAAGGGACATGGAGTAGGTAGCCCAGCTTGTACCTGCCACAAGGGCGGAAGTGACTCAGAACTGCTATTTTGATCCATGAATCTGGAAATGGTGAAAGGGTAATTTGGGGTAAGCAAGAATGGAGGCCTATGGCATATTGACTGAGGTTCTGGTTCACCTACTATAAATATTTTATGTATTATTTATTTTAATTCCTTGAGTACATTGCCATTGATTATGCTATACACCATTAACTATACCCAATCAGAATTTTTCAGGGATGAGAGAAAACATTAAAAACAATTGGAAGGTCTAACATGTCTTTCATACCTCAAGCACATTGTGGCACTTCCTGAACAGTACAGATCATATCTCTTTTTTGTTTTTTGTTTGCGGGGGATTTTTTTGCTGTTACTGGAGTTTGAACCCAGAGTCTCACATTTGCTTGCTCTGCTGTTGCTCTACCACTTGAGCCACATCTTCATCCCTGAGTTTTGCTAGTTATTTTGGAGATAAAAACTTCATGGACTTTTCTGCCCAGGTTACCCTAGAACCACAATCCCCTGGATCTTAGCTTCCTGAGTAACTAGAATAACAGATGTTAGCCATTTGCACCTGGCTTCAAAGAATACAGTATTTACTCCTGAACTGCATGATTGAACCAAACTTAAATGATCATTAAACTAACCCAGCCAGCAAAATTCAGCACCTCATGCCCACTTGCTGTGATTTTTCTATTTAGTTAACTTCTTATTGTTGGGCCATTTTCCTCTTAAGCTTGTATAACCAGTTCTTATCACTACCTCCCTCAAGGAGAATAGGACTGGGCAGGACCCTTTCTCCATATCTCTGGGTTCCTCTTTTCCCCCCAGATAACCTTAATTTCCATGATCCCAGGATTATACGCCATTGAGCCTTCATGCAAAGTCTGAACCAAGCCTTGATGACCTGAAGAACAAGGCTTGGCCACCAAGGCTGGTCCTTTAAGAATAGCTAGGACATCCAGACAAGCCCACCATTTACTACTCACCATTAATTGTGTTGTGTTGGGGAAGCAGTCCTAAGAGGTACTTCTGGAGCTGTCTTAAGGAGATAACAAGAGAGAAGCCATCCCTGGTTCCCACCAGAAGAGGGGAAACAGCAACACAGGAGCAATCTGATTGCTCAGAGTATGTGGAGCCAGAAGGGTGGTCTTACTTTCTTAGTATAACTATGGCACTCACACAGACTGAGGGTTCTAGGGTTTGAGAGATGGGATTCAAGCTCTACCTCTGTCTCTCAGGTAGCTGTGAGGCCTAAGCAGTTATTTCTTCATGCCATCAGATACTTCAGTTGATGTCTCTGAATGTTTCTGTCCAGGAAGTAGAGCTTTTGAACTCTCCTGTTCTCTCTCACTGGCTCTGCAATGTGCTTCTAATGAGCTGGTGACTGCTTTTCCTCAGATGTCCCCAAAGAGCAGTGGCTGCAAGCTGTGCAGGCCGCCATCCTGCTGCTGGCCGATGAGAACAGGGAGGCCCTGCAGACACTCTTGTGTTTCCTGAACGATGTCGTGAACTTGGTGGAAGAGAATCAGATGACGCCCATGAATCTGGCTGTGTGCCTGGCCCCCTCCCTCTTCCATCTTAACTTATTGAAAAAAGAAAGTTCTCCAAGGTAAGTTTTCCTCAGTATTGATAGCTTCCCCAATATCTCAGTATTGGTAGTCTCCTCTCCTTAATCCATTAAAGAAAAGAAGAAACAGAGCTGTTCACGTGCTGGATTTCCACTGGAGGGTTTCCTAAGCACCTATTTTTATATCAGGATGTGTTCCAAGGAAATTTTATTCATAGGCCTCGGATTCATAGAATCATAAGGTAGCATTGAAGGATGTCAGTTATGATCCAGAAATTTTGGCCAGGGGAGTAAGAGGAGCAGAAGAAGGGGTGCTTTGTTTTGATGATAGGCATAGGAAGAAAAAGGAGGAGGAGGAGGAGGGAGAAGGAGAAGGGGAGAGGAGAAAGAAGAGGAAAAAGAAAAGTACATAAAGTAGTATTTTGCAATCCTTGGTTTTAAAAGCCTGTATTTAAAAACCAAGGTGGTTTCAAACTTTAGGGAAAAACATAGATTAATTTCTCTTCCCACAGTTCTTTTTGCCCTTGTATTTTTCCAAGGCTTTTGGCTGTGGACTGTCAGACTGTCTGCCTTGGAATATCTGAGACATGTGGTCATTGTTTTCATTTGGAAAGGAGAAAAAGTCTGGGGTTTGGATATGCTGTTCATCTGGGGATGAATAGCATACAAAAGGGATATGAGCTGGGGAATGGAAAACACTTTGGTTCGGGATCTGCTCAGTACACTCTCATGCAATTACAGAGTCAACCAGAAGAAATATGCCACTGGAAAGCCAGATCAAAAAGACCTCAGCGAGAACCTGGCCGCAGCTCAGGGGCTCGCCCACATGATCACCGAATGCAACAGACTTTTTGAGGTGAGTGAAAAAAGGCTCTACTCACCTTTTAGGTCTCAGAATTAGGGTAAGATGGTCATTGTTTTTATAGTTTGTATCTGTTTGCTCCTGATTTTTCGGTGACAGTAGTACACCTTCTGACGTTGATCCTTGCCTCCAAGAAATTGAGGCCTTGATAGCTAAAGACACTTGAGGTCACTGTGATGATGGTGTTCCCTCAAATGGTTCATTGCCTTCCTTTGTCTGGCTCAAAGCCAGAGGGCCAGTTATATTTGAGTTTACCACAGGATCTTACTAGGCTTCACATCTATGGGGTGTGTGTGTGTGTGTGTGTGTGTGTGTGTGTGTGTGTGTGTGTGTGTAAGAGAGAGAAAGACAGACAGAAAAAAGAGTAATATTGGTTACTGAGCATCAGTGACAGCACCTGATAGCCACAGATATGTAAAGAATTAAGAGACTGCTGGGTGCTGATGGATCACTCCCATAATCCTAGCTCCACAGGAGGCTGAGATCTTAGAATCATGGTTCAAAGCCAGCCCAGACAAATCTGTGCAACTCTTCCTCTAGTTAATCAACAAAAACCTAGAAGTGATGGTATGGCACAAAGGATAGAATGCTAGCATTGAGTGAAAAAGCCAAGCAAGGGTACAAGGCCCTTAATTCAAGACCCAATATTGGCACAAAAAAAAAAACCAAACCAAATAGCAACAACAACAAAGAAAACGATCTATAGTAAAAAGATTCGCTTTCTGACAAAATTCCATATTTCTAGAATGTTAAAAAGCATATGAAGTGTCATAAAACTTAAAAAGTTACTTCAAGTTTTGCAGCTACTTTAGCCAAAAGAATCCTAAGCAATACAGCTAAAGGTTAGCATAGAAACAAAACCATATAGAAATAAACACACATGAAAGCATAGAAAAAAAAAAAAGAAGGCAATATCTAACACGCGTCTGTGGTAAAATTGACACCCATCAGTGAGAGAATGTACCAGAAAGGTCTGCCTCTTCCTAAGTCACAGCTGATGTTTTCCTTAACAATGTAATATGTATTAAGTTTTCTCACATGGAGTAAAGTTGTCTGAACCCACATTCTGTTAGAGTAAATAAAAATGAATTAAAGGAAAAATGGAAAGAATGATTGTAGAATCATTACAATGTTTTCAATAATAAATATAACATTGGAAGCAAAGTTACATTTCCTAACTTTAGGAAGGCCCCTCTCAGCCTTGGCACTGATCTTAGAAAAACATCTCCAGCCCTGTGGCCCTGGGCTTGTTGCTCAAACCGTGGTAGTTGATGAAATGACTTTGCTTCTTAGCATTTCTTTAGCTCCGTGCATTGCTCTTTCAATCTTCTTTTGGCTCAGGTTCCACATGAGATGGTGGCCCAGTCTCGTAGCTCCTATGAAGAGGCTGAGATTCATGCACCAACGCTGGAAGACTTGGGGACACAGCTGGAGGAGAGTGGGGCAACTTTCCATACTTACCTGGAGAATCTCATCCAGGGCCTTCAGAAAGAAGCCAAGGAGAAGTTCAAAGGATGGGTCACATGCTCCAGCCTAGACAATACAGACCTTGCATTCAAAAAGGTAATCTCACACAACCTCCATCTCCCCACAGGACTGGCTTATGCTTCTGCCACACAGGTTTGTCTATGGTGCACCTCCACGAGCCGCTTAGGCCCCTGCTTCATTCAGAGACCCTGTCTAGAAGGCTAAGCAGCCCAGCAGCACACAAACAGGGTCCAGACTGTAGAGAAAGACTTTGGATCCTCATGCTGCCCAGACCCCTTTGCTGGGTAATATTGACAGGTCAGAACCTCTGTCTTCTCACTTGCCAAAATAGACTTTCTAGAGTACTGTGGCCAGAAGAGGGCTGTGTAACAATCAAATGGATGAGAACTGAATCTAGTGCCCAACACACACCACACACTGTGTGTATTGGTGGTAGTTAATTTTGATTATCATTACTCTTAAGCATAGAGATTAAAATGGTACAGTATCAGTGAAGGAAGGGATAACATTGTCCTCCAAAAAAATAATGTACTCATTACCTGACTTATGACAGTATAACCTTAAGAATAATAATAATAAAATTAGATTTAAAAAAATTTAAAAAGTCAGGTGATGGTCGCTCATGCCTGTAATCCAAGGTACTCAGGAGGCTGAGATCTGAGGATTGTAGTTCAAAGCCAGCCACTGTAAGAAGGGAAGTCCACGAGATTCTTATCTCCAATGAACCACCAGAAAACTGGATGTGGAGCTGTGGCTTAAAGTGGTAGAGCACTAGCCTTGAGCAAGAAAAGTTCAGGGACATAGCTCAGGCCTGAGTTCAAGCCCCGGGACCAACAAATAAATAGGAAAAAAAGTAACAGAATCACTCCTATACTTTATTATAACCAGGGATTTTTTTTTGAACACTTGATACAGTAGGCTAAGGTTCGATGTACCCCCACAACCTCTTCAGCTCTTACTGGTGTCTTTCCCAAGGTGGGGGACGGGAACCCCCTGAAGCTGTGGAAGGCCTCTGTGGAGGTGGAAGCACCCCCCTCCGTGGTGCTGAATCGCGTACTGAGAGAGCGTCACCTGTGGGATGAGGATTTTGTGCAGTGGAAGGTGGTAGAGACTCTGGACAGGCAGACGGAAGTTTACCAGTACGTGCTGAACAGCATGGCCCCCCATCCTTCCAGAGACTTCGTGGTTCTCAGGTAAGCCTGATTCCGCGGTTTATGAGGCCCTGTTCTAAAAGCAAAATAGGGGCTGCAGATTTAAGCACTTCTCAGAGTCCTGCCCTCCTAAATCCAGTCTCCATAGGGAGCACTAAGGCCGCCCTGACTTTGCTGTATTTATGCCTGACTTCCTGCTTCTTCACCCAATTTACAGCTCTGCTCCAGCTCTCCAGCAAGGCCCCTCTCCATGTGGAGCACACACTTTATTAGGCTATAAATACCATTCATTTCCTCCAAACAGAGGCTCCAGAAGAGCTGCTGCTTGTTCAGTGGCACTTTCTGCCAAATTATGCAAAGCAAATCGGGCTGGCTTTTCTCCTGATTCTTGCCTTTCTCTCTGGGGAAAGCAAATCTTCACATTGTGAATAACTAAAACAGGAGTGTGTGTGACTTTAAACCCTATGTGCTTAACTTTGCATGTTCATAAATAATTACCTGCATGGAAACACCTGCACAGGTGTTAGTGTGTCAGGTCCTAGTGTGCCAAGACACTGGACATGCAATCAGATTGCAAGTTTGCTGGCCCCTGTGGCTGCCACTGAAATACTGCTTCTGATTTGCTTCTGAGTTGAGTTCCAGCCCTCCCCTCTAGGCTGGGAGTGGAATGTTCAGTAAATATTAGGCAGTTTACTCAGTCAAAATGCAGTATTTCATTAGAAAGAACAGGGCTTGGGAATATGAAGAATCTGAATAAAATGTAATTAGATCGATACATCCTTTTTATTAAAAATGTAAGCAAAACCCAGTCTGCTCTCATGGATCACTAATGTAAAAGGAATCACTACTGAAATCTTCAAATGTGTATTTAAAATGTTTTCTTGATGAAACTAGTATTGACTATAACAAAAGGTTACTTTTCACTTGCATTCTTTATGGCTTTGGTATTTCTCCTTGGGACCTTGTCATTAAGGGTGATTGTTCCCAAAGTATATGTGTGTGTCCTCATGACCTTGAGATCCTGGTGTTATAAGGGTGGGCTATTACCACAGTTATTAAGACATGAATCATCTTGGGGAGTTAACTTTCACACCTTCCTTCTCACAAGCAGAAAACCTAGGATTTGCCTTGGAAAGCAGCTGTGGGGTAGAACTGGCCATAGTGGGTCCTCTTCTTTCCTGGAGAGGAGTCCTTACATAGAACCTCCCTCTTTCCATCCATGCAATCTATCAGTAGTCCTTGGTTAGTACATCATTGTATCAGCTTTACCACAGGCCCTGCTGCAAGCCCTGCAGCCTGGGTTTATATTTCACTGGAGAAATAAAGTCAATAGGAAGTCAATAGAGCCACATACCAGCAACTCCTGCCTGTAATCCTAGCTACACAGGAGGGTGAGATTGGGACAATAGTGATGCAAAACCAGCACGAGCAGAAAAGTCTGTGAGATACTATCTCCAAAATAATCAACCAAAAAGGTAGCCTGGAGATTTGGCTCAAAAGTAGAGTACAGGCCAAATGCAGGTGGTTCACCCCCGTAATCCTAGCTATTCAGGAGGCTCAAATCTAAGGATAACAGTTCAAAGCCAACCCAGTCAGGAAAGTCTATGAGACTTTTATCTCAAATTATCCACCAAAAAGCCAGAACTGCATCTGTGGCTCAAGTGGTAGAGCACAAGCCTTGAGCAAAAAAGCTCAGGGACAGTGCCCAGGCCCTGAATTCAAACTCTAGAACCAGGAAAATAAACAAATAAAGTGCCAGCCTTGAGCAAGCAGGTCAAGGGAGAATTCACACACACACACACACACACACACACTCAGGAGGCTGAGATCTGAGGATCACCATTCAAAGCCAGCCCAGGTAGAAAAGTTTATGAGACTCTTACCTCCAATAAGCTACTTAAAAATGCTGAAGTTGGAGCTGTGGGTCAAGTGGTAGAGCATTAGCTTTGAGCAAAAAAGCTCAGCGACAGCATCTAAGCCTTGAGTCCAAGCCTCAGGGCTAGCACACACAAAAAAAATAGAATTGACTGAGGCCTGTTCTCAAAACTCTAAGCTCACTTCTTCTATAACAAGCAGGCACTTCTACAGAAGATCAGGATGGGACCTCGGTTTGTGGTCCAAATGCCAATCTGAGGCCTGCAAAGACCATTTCCAGCCTCTAAGTCCTAAAGCTGAGACCCATGCTTTGAACTGCGCTCTCCAGACTTCATACAACTTATGGAAACCATTAGCTTAATTCAAGCAGCTAGCATTCGGAACTGCAGCCCAGATTTTTGGCAGGAAAATCTAGGTAGAAACCTCAGCTCTTGGGTTCAGGTTTTGCTTTCTTTCTCAGCCTAACTCTCATGCGTGGCTTGTTTCACCTCCAGGACCTGGAAGACTGACTTGCCCAAAGGAATGTGCACTCTGGTGTCCCTTTCTGTAGAGCATGAAGAAGCCCAGCTCATGGGCGGCGTGAGGGCAGTGGTGATGGATTCTCAGTACTTGATAGAGCCGTGTGGTTCTGGCAAGTCACGACTAACCCACATCTGTAGGATTGACCTGAAGTAAGTGGCAGTCCACACAGGACCGGTGGGGCTCAGGAGACTCAGCACACAAGGTCCATTGACCACCACCTGCTTGTCATCCCAGTTGCTTACTTCATTCTACCGCTTTCCTCACTGCCATGGACAAGATTTCATAGAACATTACATATGCCTCCTCTCTCTTTTCCCATTGCCTTAAAGTCTGACATTTCTCCTGCAGCCTTTGCTCCCTTTTTTCTTTTTTTCTAGTTTATTGGTTTTTAAATGACAAGTAAAATTCATGTGCACTTATAGAAGAATACATTGCAATATTTTGCTATACCATATGCATGATGGGATCACCAAATCAAGCTATTAGCATATCTCTTACTTCACATACTCAGTTTTTAGAAGGCAGCTATGATCACCACTATACCACCAACGCGCCCGTCAGTTTTTGTTAAGTGAACACTGAAGATCTTCTTTCTTGGTAATGATGACAAACACAACCCCCTTGTAATACAACCACCCATGTTCTCACCCATTTGTGGAAACCATTAAATCAATCTTGTGGAAGAATGGAATGGAGTTGCCACCATTAGAGCCTGGGAAAGGCAAGAGGAAAAAGGAGAGAATAAAATCTTATAATAAAGGTACCAAAACATGAGGTGGAAGAGTTAAAGCCCTTCTGGTTCTTCCTTAGCACAGTAGGGTAACTATTAGTTAACAACCTAAAAAATATTGCAAAATTTTACAGAATTCCAAACATATAAAAATGATAAGCCAGGTACCAGTGGCTCATGTGTTTAATCCTAGCTACTCAAGAAGCTGAAATCTGGGGGTCGAGGTTCAAAGCCAACTCAGGCAAGAAAGTTTGTGAGACTCTTACCTCCAATTAACCAACAAAATGCAGGAAGGGGACCTGTGGCTCAAGTGATAGAGCACTAGCCTTGAATTAAAAAAAAAAAGGCAGGCTGGGAAGGTGGCTCAGTGGTAGAGTGCTTGCCTTGTATGCATGAGGCCCTGGGTTCGATTCCTCAGCACCACATTAGCAAAAAAGAAACCGGAAGTGGCACTGTGGCTCAAGTGGTAAAGCACTAGCCTTGAGTTGAAGAGCATAGGCCCCATGACCGGCCCCCCCCCCAAAAAAAAGGTTCAAGAACAGTACCTAGGCCCTTAGTTCAAGCTCCAGGATGGGCACACACAAAAAAATTAAGAAATCTACTTACCGTGACTTGATTACACATTGTATTAATGTATTGAATGTCCTCCATAAATGTAAGATTTTTTAAATTAAGAAATAGCTATAGTTTCCACATTATACATAAGGCTCTTGAGCTCATTAGTTATAACTCTCAATCCTAACCCCTACCCCATGAGTTCCATACTTTGGTTCCACATATAAATGAGAGCATGTACTATTTGTCCTTCTATACCTGACTTAATTCATTTACCTTAACATCCTCCAGGCTCATCCATGTTGTGATAAATGACAGGATCTCCTTCTTTTCAAAGACAAACTAGTATTCCATTGTATATATAAGCCACTGGCACAGTGTTTGTACAGTGTATGTATAAGCCATTTTCCTTATCCATTCATTCACCAAAAGACACTTTGGTTGATTCCATATCTTGGGTATAGTGAATAAAGCTGTAGTGCACACAGGAATGGAGAGTATTCATCATCCCTATTTCAGTTCCCTTGGATATATATCCAAAGGATATATATAGCTGGATCTTATGGGAGTTTCTTTATTTTCTATTTAGTCCTCACTTACATCTCTGTACTTAATGCATAGAACACAGAGAGGCACACAGTAGATGCTTGGTAAATCTTAATTTCCCTTCTCTTACATTTCTTTTTTCCCTGTTCCCATTTGCTGTGCCCTCCAATTGTATCTATGAGAAGAAATTAACTTATCAAACTCCTTGGGGGCATTCATGTTCCTAACACAAGTTCTGTGTTTAAGCATAGGTCAATGAAAATTTAGTTTTCTCAGCAAATTCTAGATTCAGGGTAAATCACCTCATTCTACCCCCAAGGAGTGCTATCATTTTAAAGCACAGAGTGAATGCTTGGCAGCCAAGGCATTTGCAAGATACCTGCTTGTGGACAGGAGTCCTCAGCTCCTCAAGGCAGCAGCCCTGAGTGGTTAGCAAGTGTTCTGGTGACCTGAGCCCAAGGACAGCTCTGTCCTCCCTGACAAATTGCTGTAATTTGGAAAATGACTTTCTCATTTCCTTTTTGATTTCTTTCCCTACAGAGGTCACTCCCCAGAATGGTACAGCAAAGGCTTTGGACATCTTTGTGCAGCCGAAGTCGCCAAGATTAGAAACTCTTTTCAACCCCTCATTGCTGAGGGTCCCGAGACTAAAATCTGAGTTTTGCTCCATTGTGACATCAAACTCAGGGAACAGGAAGTGAACCCAATACTTAGAGCTGAGAGCGTGCCCATGAGAAAGCAAGAGGGAGATGAATGTGGTTTAGTGCTTAGAAATGCAAACACTGAGAAGTCAGAACGTCGATGCATGAATTTTCTGAGAACTTTTCTAGCCCTCCTGGAGATGGCTACATCCCTACTAATATAATATTTTTTTAAAAAAAATCAGAACCTATATCTATGTTACTTAAAATTAAATGGATTATGCCTTGTGTGATGCCTAATTTGCTATTTAAAGGCTTCTAAGAAGCATATACTTAACTGTAAATAAATATATTGTATCATATGTACATATATGGGGATATCTCTACCTTTACTGTATATATGTAAAATATTGATTTTATATACAATTGACTGACTCCGTGAGTCCCTTCCTCACCCAGCTCTTACCCAGTAACTCTGGGCCCTGTCTCCCTAAAGTCCTATAAGCTGAGTAGAGCCTGCTGCTAATGCCATGGTGTGACAAAGTCTAATCTCTCCATTTGTCCTGATGTCTAACCAAAGATCAGCCACCAAAGGAAAATGGCATTAAGAGCTTTCTTATGTATTTGGACAACTGGTTTCAGTTGTTCAAAACTAAAAGTGGGCTGTTAAGATACAGCAAAAGAAATATTTACTCCTCTTTAACCCAAAGCAGTAGATGAGAAGTCATTGCCAAATTTAAGACTAGATTGTACAAGTTTCCCCTGTATCATACTATATGCAATTTCAGTGAGATGTCAGTTGGACCACTGGAGTCAACTCAGTGATAGAGGGGCTGAATACCTGTTCCTGTCCATATTCACAGCCAAAGGGAGCCTCTGTACTGTCTCAAGTTTGCGCTGATACTTTTTCATAATGTTATTAAAGTCTCTTCTATTTGACCAGTGGCCTGCCTATATGGTCACAGTTAATTGACCTTTTCTTCCCAATGTATTGCACTGAATTTGACTCTGGACACCAGACAAAGGGAGATGGTAGTCCCTCAAGAGTCCTGGCTCATCGCAGCTTCAGGGAATTTATATTTTGCTATATTTGATACTCTTAAAATATAATTCACTAAAATCTTACAATCTGAAAGACAGGGTTATTTTTTTACTAACATAAAACCAAAAGTGTATTCTTTAATGAGTCTTAGGAAGTATAAATGGATATATGAATTCCATGTTTCTTCATTAGCCACCAGCTCAAGCTACCTGTGCATTTGACCCCCACCTTATTTATTACTGTATAAACTAAGCAAATTGATTCTTCTTTGAACCAATTCTGAGTGGATGTGTTGCTTTGACTGTAACTCAACAAGTGTAGAGGGAAAGATAATTTATTGTGCTTGGTTTCATGGAGAAAGATTTCTTTAGTTGTTTGACAGAAATGGATATCATGATTTAGAAACTGTCTTGGAGGAGGGAAAATGTGTTTTCAGTTTTATTTTATGCAATGTCTATCAGAAATGTGCAATTGTTTTAATGAGAGGAATAAAAAACACTATGAGTTTGATATGGTGCAAGGAAAATCATACTAGGAATTGTTCATTCATGTGTCTTCCTAGGACATGCAGGCAGAAACAAATTCTCTTCTACCACAACATCTGAACTGTGTAGGTGGGATTGCATTTTTAGGCCCTGACACTATCATTGGTGAAGTTTAATCTCAGCACTGGTCCTGCCCCAAAGATGGGGCACTATGTGTTTGGAAAATAGGATGGGCACTGGAAGACAAATGGTATTGTGTCCCATTAAGCAGTGTTCCTCAAACTCTACACAAGGACTAGATGGACCTAGAGAAATAAAAACAGATATGGAGGGCTGGGAAGGTGGCTCAGTGGTAGAGCATTCGCCTTGCATCCTTGAGGCCCTGGGTTCAATTCCTCAGCACCACATAAGCAGGAAAAAAAAAGCCGAAGTAGCACTGTGGCTCAAGTGGTAGAGCGCTAGCTTTGAGCTGAAGAGCTGAGGGACAGCACCCAGGCCCAGAGTTCAGGCCCCCCCCAAAAAAACAGATATGGATTTATTTCTGACTTCCTCTCTCTTCCAATGACCTGACTTTTGAAATTTTTATACATCTACTAATCCCATCACTGTTATCTAAAAACATGGTGCATCTTTTAAATAAAGGAAAAAAGTAGGGGAGGGAAAAATGATGCATCAAGCTTATCTGTCAAGTACTACAGTATTTTATTCCTTGTTATCTTGCCATTGGAAATAAAATATGATATTACATTTAAATATTATATTTATACCTCATGTATATTTTTTACCTCAATTGTTGTTATCAATCATAAATTGTAAATAAATCATTGCTAAGGCAAATAAATTTATATATATTAAATATTTCCTATTTTCTATAAAATAAATGGTGAATTTCATGTTTCATTCTACAAGTGGAAAGTGAGTTTATGAGGAATATTTCTTGGGATTGTCTGTGGTCAAAATTGTCTCCAAACTACAAGGAGTTTCTTATCAACAGACATTCATTAACTGACTAGATGTTAACTAACATAGATCTAAGACATGAAAGTGATGGGTAGGGATTTATTAAGCTCTTTTTAAATCTGAAGATTTATAAAAATACATTCATAGTATTTCAACCAAATTTTTAGTGAATTCATCAGCTACATTTTATTTTTTTAATTAATAAGTTTTTATTGTAAAAATACCATACAGAGGGGTTACAATTACATAAGCAAGGTAATGAGTACATTTCTTATCAAGCATTGCTGCCTCCTCCTTTGTTTCCCCTTCCCATCCCTTCCACCCTTCCCACCCCCCCACCCCTGACCAAAGTTGTAAAGTTCGTTTTTCAACATAACGATTTGTACATATCATTGTTGCAATGGGTCCACTTGTATCCCTATTAAAACAATTTGTTTTTTCCTTCCCCTCCACAAGTTATACCAACATCAAATACAGTGAAAACAGGGTTATACCATGGGGGAGGGACATACAAAGCAACAAAGAAATCATCTTATAAATAGCTACATTTTGTTTTTAAGTGAACCAGAAATGGAAATTTGCTGGGCACCATTGGCTCATGCCAATAATCCTAGTACTCAAATGCCTGAGATCTGAGGTTCATGGTTCCAAGCCAAGTTGGGGCAGGAAAATTGTGAGACTCTTATCTCCAATTTACCACAAAAAAGCCAAAAGTAAATATATCTCTCAAACGATAGAACACCAGCTTGGAGCTAAAATCTTAAGGGGCAGCACCCAGACCTTGAGTATAAGCCTCAGTGTGGCAAGAAGGGAACGGAAGGGGAAAGAGAAAAGGAAGAAAAGAAAAAAGGGAAAGGAAGAAAAGTAAAAAGGGAAAGGAAGGGAGAGAGAATTTTGAAAGAAAAGAGAAAAAGAAGGAATAGAAAAGGAAAGGGAAGGAAGACAGAATAGAAAAGGATGAGAAAAGAAAAGAGAAAGGGAGACTTGCAATTGTACCATGAGACCAGGGAAAGTAGCCGCCAATGACTCTAAGCCCTTCCTCTTTGACATTGTATTTGGTTCCTGTAGCCTTTACTTCTAAAACTCAACAAAGATCCTTTAACCAAGCACCTGGAACATTCTCAGCTATAGGCTTCAAAATCGCAATAGCCCCAAAGACCACATGACCCATGAAAAATGATCCCACTCTGCTTTATCTTTCATCCCTTGTCCCCATATACTTGAAAGTTTTGCTTTCATACACAAAGGAGGGATTCAGTGGCCTCCTTTCCTCTTCTGTGTGAAAGAAGAGAACATGGCAGGCTCCATACAGCCTCTGGCCACAACTGTCCTCTCAGAGTGTGTATCATACAAATACAAAGTTGCTTAGAAACATTTGTTTATAAAATTCTTACATAGGAAATTGTTCTGAGGTTATGTCTTGACACTTGTCACAGAAAAAGTCATGTGACTTACCAAGAAGATACTTAAGGAGACAAAATTAGACCCGAAGCGAGTAAAGGGTCACATGCTGTCACAAAAATGAAAAGTCACTAAAAGAACAAATACCCACCATTACAACATAGTTACAGTGTTGCGAAGCTGTGAAGTTTGAAAGACTGATAATGGGCTACTTGTGACACTTCTTAGGCAGACTACATCCTATGCAATTCTTTTTTTAAACTGTACACTTCCATTCTAATAATCCCACCCATCAGGTCACTTCCGTGCGTGGCCCACAACTTCCCTTTGTACAACTGAGCCTTAAAATTCCTCTGAAGTGTACCTCTGAAGCCAGAATTCCTGCAGATGGCATTTACTAACTTAGCACACATTCATTCAACCCGGAATAGGAATGGTAGGTACAACAGCTGACAGAGGTACTGATACAAAGACAATATGATATAACCTGGAACAAATCATACATTGTTAATTCTCATTATTCTTCAAAGTTCTATAACATCTCTACAAACACTGAATTAGTGAATACTAAACCATTCCTCCTAAGAGAAACACGGGACTAGTTTCCTATGAGCCTCAGGTCACATTTCTGTAACTTAGTTACATTGTGTTTTTGTACAAAAGTGTGTGTGTGTCTGTGTCTGTGTGTAATGCGACTGTTAATATTCTATCCTTTGGCTTCACACTAATGCTCTAGATAGTTGCTAAGCAACTGTTCTCTCTCTAATCTATATACCTAGCACCCAGCTCACCTACAATGCTTTTTATACTACACTTGTTTTTTGTTGTGTGGTTGGTTGGTCACTTGGTTTATTGCTGTTTTCAAGATAGAGTCCTGCAATATATCCCAGGCTAGCCTTGATAATCCTGCTTCAGAATCCAAACTGCTGTTTAATTACAAGTATGTACCACAACACCTATCTTGCTACACTTTTTCAGTTTGTCAACTCACAAATTCCAGAGAACAAGAACCCACACACTCATGTGTCACTTTCTCTTCACCTTGTTAATAATTAATAGTCTATTTAGTCCTTAAAACCCTACTAGGACACCATGCCTTCCATTAACATTCCTGACCACCCTTCTCAAATTCACTTATTTCTTTATATATTTCTTTTGTTGTGCAAAGCATAGTTCCCTTAGTTATTCATTAGTAACTCTAGGTCTTCCATTAGACTATAAGCAATTGAGAACCTAAACCAGGTCTTGCTAACTCTGAAACCCCATCTTCTTGTATACTTCCTTCTGTGGTGTTTTGTAAATGTTCATTCCAATGAATCAGGCCTAGGAAAACTGTGTACACAAGGGTTGGACTCAGAGAAATGATCAGAATTACATGGGGACACTGGAGAGGACAATTGCACTTTGCATTTTGACTACTTCAGCTCTCTCCAAATGGATGGAGACTTAGTTGACCTTCCAAAAAGCTAAACATGAATGTTTCTTACATGTGCACACATGCCTGTTTACTATGCACAGAAATTTGACTTGCTCATCCATTCACCAAATATAAATCGAGTATTGATGGTATGCCCAGATATGAAACATAGATATTCAATAAATAAAACACACAAAAGTTCCAGTCCCCATGAAACTTATGCTTTTCTCATAGTGAGAAAACAGCCAAGAAGTAATGTAATACTTGACCAGGTTTGTTTGTTTTTTAAAGGCAGTGGGAGGTTTTTTAGTTACAGATAAGATGCTCAGAAGAGGGTGAAGAAGTATTCAAAATGACACCCTGTCTGGGTATTTTCTTCCTGCCCTATTGGAGCTGTAGGTGGAAATAGTCAATTCGTCAACTTGCTGAGCACCTACTCCCTATAAAGGAGCAGAACAGCAACCCAGACAAGTGGATGTTTAAGAACCACACACGCTCTATGCTATATCTTCCCAGCCAACTGGACGTCAGGGCTTGCACAATGCACAAATGCTAGATTCTTGCATGTCCAGGACCATAATATCAAATGCTATGCCTGAATGGTAATAGAAAAAGCCCCTACTTGCATTGATTGCAGAAGCTAGCACAGCTCACCTGTCCCTGTCCTTCAGGAAGATCTCAGACTACACACTCCCACTACTCAGCTTTGGTTTCTTCCTTGACCCCCACAGGCTGCCTAAGCTATTAATGACCTTGTCAGCTCATTGTCCTCATCCCCGCAGCTCCCTCTGGTTTTGTCATACTGACACCCTACACGCTGGTCCAAGCTCATCACTGGATCTCCACAGCACAGCTAAGACCTGGCTATCATGGGAATGACTCCAAGTATGAATCAGAAGAACAAAAGCATGTGTAGAGCTTAACTGAAAGCTGGTGACAAAAGCAGTTGCTCCTGGAGTTCACTGACCAAACCCTGACCAAAGAGGCCCTTCTCTACCCAGTCTGTCCCGTATTAGCCTCAGCTCCAAATGTTGCTTTGGACAGGAGTGTGAACATCTGACTCCTCCCCAAGAGAGTGCTCTTCTTCCCTGGCATGACTTAGCAAGATTCAGCTTCCCTGGAGAGAGAGAGAGGGGTCATGTGGGCCCAGAAACAACCCTTCTGCCCACCTCATCATCTTAGAGCACTTGGGGAGGAATGGTGAACGAAGGATCTCAGCTCCATCTCCATCTCACGCTCAAATACCTCCAAGCCCATATGCTA